GGGGCCTCGAAGGGCTTATTGCCCTTTTGTTCCTTGTGTCTAAAGATTGTGTAGGGTGTGGCTGGAGGCGGTGCATGGAGGCGGGACAAGGGTGGCACTTGCTGCAGAGTATGGGTGGGGCCTGTAAGGGGGCCCTTGATTTATTTTGCCCGGGGGCCCTGAGGGTTCTCAGTCCGCCCCTGGCCGTGGCTTGACTGGGGCCCTGGAACCACTTCTTCCTGGAGCTGAATGGGGAATTCGCTCTAGAAAGCCGAGGTACTGGACGACACTCAGTCCTGGGGGCTCTAGTCCTTACAAGGACTTTCCCCGTTGAATCCCCTGCAAGCTGGAACAACAGACACAGGGGTTAAATCTTCTTTCCCTCCAATAACAGGACAACACACAGTTTTGGAGTGCAAGCTGGCATCTTTTAATGGCAGCCACAACTGGCCTTATATGCATGTCCCCATGCAAGGGGCACTGCCCCCTGAACCTGAGAGTAAACCACAGTCAAAACAAATACACAATTACATTGGCTCTCAGATCCAGGGCACTCCCATACAAAATCAGATAATCCCTCCTCTGTGCCTGGGAGATAATTGGATCAGGAACTGTACTAATCTAATCCAATTATCTCCAAGAACAGAAAAACATACTTTTTCCAAAACACCCCAAAAATACATAAAAAACCCCACAAAGGTTACATCCCCTGATAGCCCTGATCTGGGTGACCAACATACCCCAAAATAACCCAGATCAGTTCAGGGGTTCAGGAATTTCCTGGAAGTAATTTATTTGACCGACCACAGGCATGGTCCCATGCCCAAAACGGTTCTAGAGAATAAAGGCTTGCAGTCGGTCTAATTCGGTAGTTTGAAAACGAACAAACTACAGAACAGAGTCAGTAGTCTTATTCTGGAGCTTGTTCCCCTCATCCAGAAAAATGATTTCACCGAACAGTGCCCTTCTAAGTTGTATAGAAACAAACGCAGGCGATGATAAAAGTCCAGTGGTGTTTCTGTGTCCAATTTTAGTTCCATGAGATTCATGCCCAAACACCGCTGCCTGCGTTCATGCGAACAAGATAGCAGCCACCTCGTCGTTGTCCATAGGAATTGCGGCCACCCAGACGAACAATTAGAACACTGTGGTGAGAAACGTTCCAAGTTGTTAATAGGTGTTAACAAGCTCTAGGGTGGTCTCTGGTTCGTGCGGTTGTTGTCAGGGTCTTACCTGAGTTGGGAGTCTGTAGCGCAGATATGATGCTCACCCTTGCAGATAGCCACAGGCCGAGGTGGTCAGGTAAGAATTCACCTGGCCTGTGGGTCTGTGCACGGGGGCTGTGCGGGATGCAGTACCAATACGCAGGACAGGCAAGGACTGAACCAGCAGGATGGTCGAGGGATAGCCGAGGTCAAAGGATGCCAGAGGACAGGAACAACGAGGAGTAGCCGAAGTCAAGGGGTGCCAGAAGTCAGAATAAACGAGTCAGGAAGCCGGGGTCAATAATGCGAAGCGATGAAACAGGAACACTGGAACAAACAGGATCAAAGACTTGACACTGAGCACAGGGCGAGGCTGGGTTTATATACCCTGCTGATGACTGATCAGAGTCAGGTGAAACACAGCCAAGTCAAGGTGCAGCCCCCAGAGTAGTAGCCATGTCAGGATGAACAGGATTGGAATCAGTCTTCACTGTAAATAGCTGCTGTGGCTCAGAGGTAGAAAGCAGGACCAGGACTGAGAAGATCCCCGGTTCAAGTCCCCTGTTGGGAACTCCAAGAGCTACCACGTCTTGCCGTCTGTCTATCAGGTGAGAACCGTGACAGTACCCCCCCCTTTAAAAACGACCTCCGGGCGTGAATGGGTTCATTGTCAGCATAGTACACCTCTCCAGGGTCACTATCTGAATCCAGTGAGTCCCCATAGTCAAACTCCCCAGCAAGGATTCCCTTTACAGCTTGGGAGTCCGCAGTACCAGCTTCTGGTACGGCTGGAGAATTGTCCAGGTCTTTTAGGTTCCGGGTACAGGTGGCAAGCACTTCCAAAACTTTGGCAGGAGCAGTGTTCGCAGCTAACAATGCTTTTTCGAACATATCAAGGTCTTCTTTACGGACTATAGTGCCATTAGAAGTAACGGCACAATCCACAGGTAAAACCTCTTCGGGCGGGCAGGAAGTAGTGGTGGTATCACAGGAAGCAACTTCGGGAGTAGATGCAGGAGGCTCTGGAGCAGGGGATGGAGGTTTTCTCGCGGAAGCCAAGCATGTGCAGGCACAACGGCTTCTATTTGGCTTTTTAGGCTGGTATGCGGTGTACACAGGGCGAAGGAAACTAGTACCAAGTCGGAGAGCTGGAGGTCTAGGAGGGCGAACAGGACAAAGCGTGATGAAGTGCCCTTTTTCTCCACAGTAATAACATAGGCCATAGCTTCTCCTTCGGTCTTTTTCCTTAGGTGTCACTTTGCAGTGGACGAGTCCTAATTGCATAGGTTCCACAGGGTCAAGTGGAACACCGGATACCTCTGGAGTTTTCCTGGGAGCTGGAACATAAGGAGGCATCTCTGGGGCGTAGTGGTGGTACTCGGTTTCTTGGTTAGGAAGAATCTGAGATTTTTTAGTACGTGGAGCTGACTTGGCCACAGTGGTCTTACATTGTGAGTCCATAGCAGTACTAAAGGATTCCCAGCTGACCAGGACAGGACTCTTCGTCTGCAACATTTGGTGAGCCCAAACTTTGATGCGTCCAGACAACAGGTTGATAGCCGCTCTGACCCTGATGAATTCTGTGGCATATGTTCGAGGCTTTAAAGAAAACAACACCTCACAATCCATCTTGAAAGACTGAAAGGATGTGCGGCTACCATCAAATCGGTCGGGCATGATGACAAACGGTTCAGGAAAAGCTGGTTCCGGGGCTGGATGTACTGCGCCTTTAAGGAATAAAATTTCTTGCTGCAGCTCCGAAACAGTCTGGGCCAGGCTGGACACACGCTGGGTCGAGGGTGAGCACATCTCTGCGGACTCCATAATGGTCAAGTCTTATGTCAGGGTCTTACCTGAGTTGGGAGTCTGTAGCGCAGATATGATGCTCACCCTTGCAGATAGCCACAGGCCGAGGTGGTCAGGTAAGAATTCACCTGGCCTGTGGGTCTGTGCACGGGGGCTGTGCAGGATGCAGTACCAATATTCAGGACAGGCAAGGACTGAACCAGCAGGATGGTCGAGGGATAGCCGAGGTCAAAGGATGCCAGAGGACAGGAACAACGAGGAGTAGCCGAAGTCAAGGGGTGCCAGAAATCAGAATAAACGAGTCAGGAAGCCGGGGTCAATAATGTGAAGCGATGAAACAGGAACACTGGAACAAACAGGATCAAGGACTTGACACTGAGCACAGGGCGAGGCTGGGTTTATATACCCTGCTGATGACTGATCAGAGTCAGGTGAAACACAGCCAAGTCTAGGTGCAGCCCCCAGAGTAGTAGCCATGTCAGGATGAACAGGATTGGAATCAGTCTTCACTGTAAATAGCTGCTGTGGCTCAGAGGTAGAAAGCAGGACCAGGACTGAGAAGATCCCCGGTTCAAGTCCCCTGTTGGGAACTCCAAGAGCGACCACGTCTTGCCGTCTGTCTACCAGGTGAGAACCGTGACAGTTGTTCGGTAATCCCAATTGCACGATCTGAGACTTTAACATTATATTTCACAGCGTCCATAGTCTGTGGGCAAGAGGCTGGCAAGCAGGCTCCTCCAGGAGCTCGTGGCAAACTCTTGTAAGAAGGGGAGTTTGTCACACTCTTATTGATCTCTATTAAGAGGTTGTATTTTATATATTGTTCCTTAACACTTTTGGGTATTTTGGTAGCCACACCTCCTTTGTTTTGGTTTTTGTTGTCATTACAGGATCACACTGTCACATACAAAAGAACGTACATCAAGATGCTTAAACATAGGTAAGTTTCCATAGAGTATTTGATGACGGCCCAAAGGCATGTCGCCAATTCCCAGGGTATCCTATAACTAACAGACATAACATATTGTTTGAGATTACATGTCTTCAGACCTTGGCATCCGATCTCCATGTGTCCCCTGTCGACCATGTATTTGAGATGATTTTTGTTTGGAGGAAAAGATGGGGGAATTGAAGCTCATAAGAGCCTTGCTTATGAAGTTCTAGTTGGAGGCTTTCAATCAGTTTTAGATTTCCAGTCCCTAGCAATACAGCGTTGGGCCGTGAGCACTATATGCATAATCAGTTTTACTATGTGGTGCAGCAGGGAATTAGGTAAGTCAAAGAGGAGATAGGTCCTTGGCAAAAAAGCTATAGGGAGCTCCACATTTTTAGTAATAAGGCGATAAACCGCTTTCCAGAAGTTTGTGAGGCCTGCACACGTCCACCACACATGTAGGTGAAAGCCCTCCTCAGTGTCACAGTGCCATCATGTGGTGGATGTTTAGGGGAGTATCTTATGCAGCCTGCTGGGTACCATGTACCAACGTTACAGCGTTTTATAATGTTGTTCCTTTAGAGCAGCTGATTTTATCAGTTTGTGGTTAAGTTTAAAACATTTTTCCCATTGTTTCTGGGAGAGGGGGCGTAATGTAAATCAGTGTGTCATTGTGTGGCGGGATTAGATTCTGGGAATGTTATGTGGTCTGAGATGAGTTTGTAACACATGAAGATCGGTTTACATAAAGGAGGCATCTTCTCATTTATACACAATTGTTCCCATTTTGTAATTGTAGCAGTTGAGAGTACGTGTCTAGTTCCTGGCCTAAGTTGTCTAGATAGGACGGATTTTAGTTGTAAGAAGGAGTAGTGCGAGGATCGGGGAAGGTTGTTTTTAGATGTCAGGATTGGGTAATCCAGTAACTCCATTAACTTGTACAAGTAAGTGAGTTACTCTCTGTTCTAACCAGGGTTTTGCATTGAAGGTTGGGACCCAGTACAGTAGTGCTGCTATTGGGGTCGCCAGTGACCGAGGGGCATTGTTGGACAGCCTCTGCCTGTTTTTGTCCCAAATCTGGAGTGTCGAGGCAATAGAGGGGGGAAGTGAGGAGATGGCTGACCGTAAATGCTTAGGGAGCCAGATGAGGTTGCAGATCTCATAAGGTGTTATGCTGTGCTGTTCTAGCTAAGCCCATTGGGGAGGGGTGCTGGGTGTATCCTTATTTTATACTGTTTCAATAAATACATTTTAATACAGCAGCCTGTTTGTTGTGCTTCTATGTATATTCACTCAATGGGATTAGAGGAAATCTTTGAAAGGCACACAACTAAAACAACACAGAAGGTAGCACGCCTGAAAAAGGGGATTCTCTCTAAACCCCTAAAAAGACTGGAGAAGTAGAAACAGATAATATACAGGTTGTGCCAATATATATATATATATATATATATATATATATATATATATACATATATAAACCCAAGTAAAAACAATCAAAAAGCACTAAAATACAAAGTTCTGTAGTCAAAAATTTACATGGTGATATGATCGGTAACTTTTATAAAAAGTGCAGATTACAATACAAAGTGGCACTTTTATTACTTAACCTGGTTGCTTAGCTCAGTGGAGATAAATTCAAGAGGCAAACAGAGGTTCTTCTCGTTGAGCTGCATTGAAAAGTCTGTGATTGGACAGCTACAGGCAGTCTTTGCCAGGGGAAGAAGGCGAGGGCTTACAAAGGCTTCAGACTAAAGATCTGCAGCTTTTGCAATTTATTTAGTTATACCACCAATGAAAAATGCATAGTTAAATGTATGCATGTTTTTATGGCGATATATGTGCTAAATAGTGATTATTTCATTTTTTATGTTTTGAGGAATGGATGTCCCTTTAATTGTACTAGTTATTTCTATGCTGCTTGCTAAGTGATAAGTTCCTTTTTTACATTTAGTTTGTGTTCATGTTAGACATACATAATAGTACAGGAGTCTGCAATTCCCATGAAGTGTTTCATCCATATCTGTGCTTAAGTAAACTTTACAGTTATTGAAAATGCCTTGCAGGCTAATGGTTTCTAAGTACATAAGGATACAGTATTTAAGTATTAATTAAATGCGTTTCTTCATGGGATGTAGGAGTTCAAATGAATTCCACTCTCTGCTGGCTTTAGTTCTGTTTAAAAGGGGGAAACAGCTTTATCCCTCCCACTCTCTTGCACTTTATCTTGAATAGAACATACAGCTAAAAATCAGGTTTCAACATAACCGAAGTTATCTGAATACAGTAAGTTTTAACATATGTTTGTTTCAGATTATTTATTTTTTAAATCTATTTTATAATCTGATTTTAATAACATAAAGGTAATGAACAAATAAAAGAAATATGGATGATACTGACCTACATCATTTTTACAAACAACATACACAGAAAGTGAGAATTAAAGGTGAATTTCCAAGGCCAAAAAAAGCCAAACTGGAAAAAATCTCCACGCTCTCAGTTTGGTTACTTTGGCCTCAAATTGTAAATTTACTTTGAATTCATAATTTACTAAATAACCGTGAGTAGTGGTAGCTGCTGATGTTTTTAGATGG